CTCTCTCTCTCTTTCTCTCTCTCTCTCTCTCGTTCTCTCTCCTTCTCTCTCTCTCTCTCTCTATATATATATATATAGATATATCTCTACATCCATCCATCCATCCATCCATCCATCCATCCATACATGCATGCATGCATACATACGTACATGCATTCGTGCGCGCCTAGGTTCCAGCAGTGTCTAAGGACCTCGCATCGCAAATGACCAGAGAAGAATGAAAAGGGCGATTCTGGAGTTCTCTCGGGGTTGGTAGTAAGACATGCCTCAATCAAATTGTGGGACCGCGGCAACAAGTAGGGATTGTTGTTGTGTTCGTTCTAGACTGTGTCGCAAGAGCGCTTCTCCATAATTCAATGTGATCTGCCACTTGAGACATACAGTCAACCCGTACACTAAGGATGCGCGATAAGGATGCAAGGGCCTTGGACGCCCATTTCGAAGCTCTTCGAGCGGGGCGCGGCCAACGAAAGTGGCCAAGGATGGGCCGAGGAGGCAAGGATGCAAGGGTTCCCTTGGGAAGGTTGCCCATCCTTACTATGCGGGTTGACTGTAAAGTGGCACTTCATAGTGCCAAACGGCCGTACATAAGATATGCATCCATTCGGCCACGTGGATAAACATCACGCCTCCTGGCGTCAGCAAGCTGGCCACCGTGCGGTCTGCACTCCGGCAGGCCTGCCGGGAACGCCCAGCTCATGCATTCGCCGCTTCGGCGCTCGCCACGAACACTGCAAAGCGCTCGCTCAAAGCCACGCCCTCGCCTGCGGAGCGCGGGCTGCGCAGAAACTAGAAGCAGCTCATTCAATATCCGGGGGAGAGGCGGAGCGGGGGGCACCTGCCATTGCGTGCCGGGGGGGGGCGAACTCTCGAGTGCTAACACTCGAACGCCGGGGGGGGGCTAATACTCGCGGGCCCAACAATAGGAGTGTGTATGTATGCACACATATGGTTGGGCCTCTTGCGGAAGCGGAAGGGAGCCGCACGACCGGTCTCGGCTCATACCATGCCATGCACGACGAGAACCGCGCGCGGACGAGGCGAGCCTGCGCGAGGGCCAAGGAGATCCTGGGCACTTTCAGGGAGCCGTCAACTGCTCCCCACTGTTCATGGGTCGTCGCCACGTTGAGAATACCAGTTTGTCCGCCGGCTTGTTCCATCGCTGCCCCTGCCCCGTGAGTGTCCTGCATGTGTCCCATGGATGTCACATGATTGTCCCGCGGTTGTCCCGTGGTTATGCCATGGATATCATATGGTGTTCCCGAGGCTTCCCCTCAGCACCATGATTGTTAACACCAGGAGGTCACCCCAAGAGCCGAATGGCTCTTGAACAGTGACGGTTTGAGCCAGCCTGGTTACGGACACCTGACACATCATGGTTCAAAACACCTATGATGACGACGACATGTCGATGACAACGACGAAACCGACACATACAGATATCGATGGATTGATGGATTGAAATATCGGAAGCGTGGCCGATGTATGAATATTGTACCATTAGACAGGGGTACTGATAAGAAGATATCAGGATTGGTAGATGTATACTTGCTTGTGGATGTAGGTAGGAGCATCGACAAGTGGATGTTGACAGGTAGATGTCGTAAGAGCGATTCGCGAGCGCCCCAATTCTATCGCAAGCAAAGGGCAATAACCAGAGCTTCGTCAACGCCATATTGTCTCATCTCTCCTCTTGCCGCTCTTTGCACTTCTCCTTCAGCACACACCCACAGCGAATCCAGAGATCCGAGCGGCCGCCGCCTAGAAGAGCCACATGACTCTTATAAACCGCCAAGCTCAAGGAACCTGAAGAGGGGAGGGGAGCCACTTCCACGTCCTCCTCCCCCTCCTCCTCAAGATCCTCTTCTTTGTGGTTCCCTACACTTGGCCATACGAAGTGCACGCGGGAGTAGTAGAGACGCGATTGGGAGGGGGCATGTGTGCCGCATGCTTATTCGGAGCGAAATATGTGTTTTTCAGACGTATCAAACCCGAAGGGGTGCAAAGAGGACCCGGCATCATGCCCGGGGGCGAAAGAAACCAAGTATCAAAGACACAACGGGCTAGGACTGTCTAAAACAAATGCGAGGCATTGAAGATCTTCGTTGTGAGGCCCGGGCGGCGACGCATCCTGCGATGATGAAAGTTTTTGTAGTTGGACAGCGTCAGTGTAACTGGAGAGGCGGCCCCAAGCTTGAGATGCAGTGGCGCAAGCGACAACTGCGTCCCAAACTCAGCAGAGTGGGTACAATTGCGCAGCCGTGACGATGCAACGATGCAGGCGTGATGATGCAGTGCGTCACGGGTGTGGTTGCAAGGATGCGGGCATAAACACGCAGGTTATCAGGCTTACTGAAGCACTAGAGCAGGCATCATGGTGCATGAGACGTGCTCGAGCGATGGCGGAACCGCGCTACTGCAATGGCTCAGGCGGTTGCTGGTGAGGCGCGCGCGATCAGTGAGCAAGATCAGTCGGCCTCCAGATAAATAGTTCGTCGCGAATGCTGCGCCTATTTCGCCCAGGCGATATTAGACGGCATAGACACATCGCCCCGGCGATACAAACGAAAACTTACAGGACAAGCTAAGACGATGTGAGACGTCTTAGGACGGTACCAGAAGATGACGACAATACAAGACTACAGCTCTAATAAACGGTTTTGCGCAACATGTCGTAGCTCACTTATGCGCTCACTTAAACAACCGCTTACGCGGTATCTTACGCGGGTCAGCAGCCCTCCAGCTCTGCTCTTGATGCATTGAACACAGCCTGACCCCTATTGCGCAGGTGACCCCGATTAGGCAGCTAGCTGGGCGGGGCCGAGCTGCGCTATACGGAACACTGCGGGTCCGATTTGCGCAGCCAACTGGGCGGGCGCGAAACGGGCAACTTACGGTCCGAATTAAGCAGCTAGCTGGGCGGGGGATGTACCGCGCAAAACGAATCACAAGCGGTCAGATTTGCGAAACCAGCTGAGCGGGGGCTGCACCGAACAAAACGGACCACAAACGGTCCGACTTGGCAGCTAGCTGGGCAAAGCCTTGCGCTAAACGAACCGCTGATGGGGCCGATTTGCACCGTCAGCTGGGCGGGAGATAAGCCGCGCAAAACGGACCATAAACGGTCCGATTTGGCAGCTAGCCAGGCGGGGCCGAGCTGCGCTAAACCCACCACTGAGAAGCTGATTTGCGCAGCTAGCTGGGCACAGGCTGTTTCGCGCAAAACGGACCATAAGCGGTCCGATTTGGCAGCTAGCTGGTCAGGGCATGCACCGCGCAAGACACACCACCAAGGGCCCGATTTGGCAGCTAGCTGGGCGGGGCCGAGCTGCGCTAAACGGTCCACTCAGGGGCCGATGTGCAAGGCTAGCTGTGCGGGGGCTCTGTCGCGCAAAACGGAGCACTCACGGTCCGTTGCTCAGCCATCCGGGCAGGGGCTGCTTCGCACAGAACGGACCACCAACGGCCCAAATCGCGCAGCTAGCTGGGCGGGAACTGCGCCGCGCAAAACAGACCACTAAGGGTCCGATTTAGCAGCTAGCTGGGCAGGGCTGGGCTGCGCTGAATCGACCTCTGAGGGTCCGCGTTGCACGGCTAGCTGGGCGGATGCTGTTCCGCGCAAAGCTTACCAGTGACGCTCCGACTTGCGCAGCTCTCTTGGGCGGGGCCGACATGCGCTAAACAAACCACCGAGGGGCCGATTTTGCGCAGCAAGCTGGGCGGGGGCTGCACCGCGCAAAATGGACCAATAACGGCCAGAATGTCGCAGCTGGGCGGGGGTCGTCCCGCACAAGACGGACCACCAAGAGTCTGATTCGGCAGCTAGCTAGGCGGGGCCGACCTAAGGTAAAAGGACCACCCAAGGTCCGTCCAGCGGAGCTCGACCCCGCCCAGCTAGCTGCCAAACGGGGGCCACCTGCGCAATGGGGGTCACGCTGTGTTCAATCCAGCAAAAGGTTAGCTGGAGGGTCGCTGACCCGCGTAAGATACCGCGTAAGTGGCTGCGTACGTGAGCGCGTAAGTGAGCCACGACATGTTGAGCAAGACAGTTGTTCAGCGCTCAGATGCAGCCTTGTATAATCCTCATCGTCCGATGCCGTCCTAAGCCGTCTCATATCGTCTTATCTCGTCATGTAGGTATTTGTCCGTGCCGTCGGGGTGATGTGTCTATACCATCTCACATCGTCTTATCTCCCCATATGAGACCGAAGAAAAACCCAAATCAGGGCTATAAGGCTGGGGGGCTACAGGGCTATAGGGCTTTTGAGCTATAGGGCTATAGAGCTATAGGGCTATAGACTTGTAGGGCTATAGCGCTATTGAGCTATAGGGCTATAGGGCTATAGGGCTTAGGGCTATACGGCACCCCCGGGCACCACCGGGCACGCCCGGGCACCCGGGCACCCGGTCACGCAGGCACCGGGGCACCCCCGGGCACCCCCCGGGCACCCGGGCCCCGGGCACCCCGGGGCACCCGGGCACCCGGGCGTGCAGCGAAAATCGGCGACAAAACTAACCTAACCATATGAATCCGCTAGGACCCCTACAGAGGCAAGCTCTGATTGGGGAATAAGTTGTTGTTTGTGTCGCCGTGGTGAATTAACTGTCCATACCGACTCATATCGTGTGCTACTTACGTCGCCGACGCCACGGTCCCCTCTTCTAATGTTGTCAGCATTCGCGTCCCCGAAGCCACGATCCCTCGTTAATGACATCATGATAACGCCCTCGCAGCCATACTTGACAAATTACACAATGCCCGCGCCCTCGAAACCAAACTCCATCGTAAATCACGCAATGCTTGCGTCCTCGGGGTCGCGCCCCGTGTGAATGGTATCAGATTCGGGTCCCCGAGGTCACGGCTCCTCGTAGAGTATGCAAATTCACGTCGCCGAAGCCACGGCCACTTTTTAAGTATGCACACGTGCGCCCCCGAAGCCACGATCCCTTGCTAATGACACCATGGCCGCGGCCCCGAAGCCAGAATCCTTCGTAGCTTA